ATGTGTGTGAGTGCTGAGTGTAATAGTGCTGTGTATGATGTGTGTGAGTGCTGAGCGTAATAGTGCTGTGTATGATGTGTGTGAGTGCTGTGTATGATGTGTGTGAGTGCTGAGCGTAATAGTGCTGTGTATGATGTGTGTGAGTGCTGTGTATGATGTGTGTGAGTGCTGAGCGTAATAGTGCTGTGTATGATGTGTGTGAGTGCTGAGTGTGATGTGTGTGAGTGCTGAGTGTGATGTGTGTGAGTGCTGTGTGTGATGTGTGTGAGTGCTGTGTGTGATGTGTGTGTGCTGAGTGTAATAGTGCTGTGTGTGATGTGTGTGAGTGCTGTGTGTGATGTGTGTGAGTGCTGAGTGTAATAGTGATGTGTATGATGTGTGTGAGTGTGAGTGCTGAGTGTGCTGAGTGTGAGAGTGCTGTGTATGATGTGTGTGAGTGCTGAGTGTAATAGTGATGTGTATGATGTGTGTGAGTGCTGAGTGTAATAGTGATGTGTATGATGTGTGTGAGTGCTGAGTGTAATAGTGATGTGTATGATGTGTGTGAGTGCTGTGTATGATGTGTGTGAGTGCTGAGTGTAATAGTGCTGTGTATGATGTGTGTGAGTGTGAGTGCTGAGTGTGCTGAGTGTGAGAGTGCTGTGTATAAATGTTGTGTGTTGGGGGGTAAATAAACAAATAAAAACCTAAGTGGGAATAAATATACAAATAAAAAAAAAATAAGGGGGGTAAATAAACAAAAACACTAATCATGCATTATCCCCCCCCCCCTCCCCTTACCTGTAGCCTGGGAGGAGGAGGGGTCCGGCACGCTGGTGAGTGGGGGGGACCAGCACTCACACACGATCCCAGGTGGTCCAATGGTGACTCTCGCGAGATCGGGGCGTCGCGAGAGGAACCCAGCTGAGCTACAAGATAGAGCTCCGCCGGGTCCTCTCCCTCTCTCCCCAGCCGCAGGTCTGTTTAAATGGGCCGGTGAGGGAGAGCTTTGATCTCCCCACTGGCCCTCCATGGAAGACAGCGGGGCCGGCGCTCGCATAGTGCCGGCCCTGCATAGACCGGCAGGGGATGTCCTGGGACCTCCCCTGCCAGCCTCGGCCCATGGCCACCGCGGCCCACCGGGCATTTGCCCGGTGTGCCCGATGGCCAGTCCGGGCCTGTGCAGCAGTAACAGCAGTGGGTGGAGCCCCTGCCCCCACTGTCGGTTTGGCTCCACCCCACCACTGATTTAGCTCCACCCTCACTTTCCTTCCTTTTCCCCATTCCATAGGCTATCAATATTTTTTGGAATCAGTTACTATTATTTTTTAAATTTGAGCACTCCACTCCAGAGGTTGGTGAGAGGTGTGGTGGGATGTGTGCATGGTGTTTGCTGACATACCACAAGGTAACATCAAGGTGTCATCACCAACAGCCATAAATTCCTGTCCTGCATGCAAAAATCCATGTCAGGAGAGGTTTTCATCATCTCACAGAACTGCTGGTCATCCTGTAACCATCTCTGACTGTCATATATTTTGTAGGCTGCCCAAATAAGATCTAGGTAACTGAAAACAGAAGGATCCTTTTCAGGAAAAGGGCTAGTCAGAATGCTAGAAAAAATATCAAACACTTGCAACCAGTTCCCTATCCACAAACTCTCTATCAGGCAGAACCAGAGTTCTCAAGTCCTCACTATTTTATCCCTGATCTCCAAAGGCGCATGCATAACCAAAGGGCCTAGCGTACACAAATGGGACAGTAGTCTAGCACAAAGGGGACAGTAATCTAGTGGTAATCTCTTGAAAACCACTAGAACTGGCAACCCCAAGGGAGACATACCTATTCTATAACTCCCTGGACATCCAGCACTAGCCAATGGATTCTGTCTAACCCCAGGTCTAACTTCAAACCCAGCAGGCAAGCTCGCTAATACAGAATGCAGGAGAAGCACTAATTTCCCTTCTCTTTTCTTTCCTGGCTGCCCATGCACACCTGCACTGGCACCCAAAGCCCTGTATGCCACTGATACTCACAGGGTGCAACCAAAGGCGGTAGGGGGGTTTGATCTGGTCAAACCCTGTCCTCACTGAAGTCTGCATCTGGTCTTGCAGCTGATCTGGAGATAAAGAGGTGTGAGCTGCATGCTGATGCTTCAAAGATGGGGCTGGGACCTGCAATGTGGCTACAGTACAGTGTCTCAATGCCATACATTCTTCTTGGTACCGCAGTCAGTCAGTAACCCATGAAGGGAATCTTTACCGTGAGATGAATGGTAAGCAGCCAACAGCCTCAAATGTTCTTTCCTGGTCACTGGTGTTGTCATACCAGACTACAAGAGCAGGGTTGAATTCCATTAATACTGTGCTTGTCCAGCCAGGCCAGAAGGCAGCAGAGAGAACCAACCTTCCTGCAGTTAACTGTAAGTTTCACCCCTCCATCTCCGTTTATTATCCTGCCAAGTAAGTTGCAACAAATTACATGTTTTTAAACCTTGCCCAATCCTTTTCCTATCTGAGTGTGCAGCAGTAACCCCCTCCCAAGATGTCCATGGGGATGCCTTTCTACTTGAATTTCATAAAATATGCAAATATTGTACAAATCCTTATATCAAGGTCATTAACCAGGCTTTAAACAATAAATAGGTTTATGACTAGAGTTGGGTTAAATTTAATATTGGGGTGCATAAGGCATTTAGTTTTCAAGAGGAGTTAAAGGGTTTATTTTCATGTTCAGGCTTTGAGTTTGAAGTACTCTACTTCCTATGCCTTCTATATACCAGTAATTTTCCTAAGATTTATATTAGAGGTGCATAAGCTCTTATTTGCAGTGTGCATTACTCAAAGCTTCTCCTACTCCACTTTCAAGGCAATTTATGTGTTAGAGGATGTCAGTAGGCAGATGCAAAGTGATTGCTTCCTGTCCAGTCTAAGAAAGACACTGGAGGAGCTGGAACATCATTGAGTTTTGAACCGACTATAACTGTGTCTGTAGGTCTGCTGTTATGGCTGGCTGGACTACAGAGGACACAGGCCAATCCTGGTTCTTATCTCTATCGACTAGCCTGTTTAAGCTCAAGCAGGACATTATAAGTGCTGGACAGACTCCTGTAGGCCAGTACCTACTCTGCCTAAAGGGAAATTTGGCCCTGCCCAGAACCATAAGTTTGCATGACTCTATACACCATACCTATTTGAAGAACAAAGGGGGTGGGGATGACACACTGGTAACCTACATACCTAATTATTCTATGGAACTAGTGTTTACATAAGTGTGGTGATCTCTGCCGTTTGTCCAAGAACCACACTTGGTCACAGCCATGGCACTGCAGATCGTTCATTCCTGTAAATTTTCTATTCAGCATTTGTTTAGTGGCTACTTTTATAGGAGCATATGGCCCAAGCTACTTAATCTGCATAAAAAAGACTTATAGAACTATATGGATATGGAAAAAATAAAGACAATGCTAATTAAGATAATCAACTTATGCTTTAGAATAGCTGTGCAGATTGGAAACACTGTGAGCACTTGAAAGAGCCAAGTAAATCTCAAAACATAAAAAAAAATGCTGGGATTGGCAACCCTGAGATGATGCCAGGGGACTTGGAGTACCATAACCATGTAGGGTTATGGTAATTAGAGTGTTCCTGTCAATTGATTTTTCTATGAACTTATCAACTCATTTAGTTTTTACTTTCATCGACTGACTGACTAATCGTAAATGTAACAATATGTACTTTATTCTAATTTCTGTGTGTTTTTCTTATCTTTCTTTTTCTGTAATTAAGAGACATTCAAAAAAAAAACTTTGACAGGAATGTGTAAAAGAGCATTTATTTTTCAATACAACTGTAAATCATAAAGATGTTGCAATTGTTTAAAAATGTATCTTAAAACATGTGATACCAATATTTCTTTAAAGTCAAACAGTATTTTTCTTAATCATTGATTGCAATATTTTGCCTCCCATTAGTAAAAAAATCATCAAGAAATTACGATAAGACCACATCATTGAACAATTCAATGTGTTACATCATATATATATAGAACATATAAATCATTTATGGTAAATCCAAGAAAATCATGGTTATATTTTTCTTTCTTACATTAAAAAAAAATTATCAGAATTTTGATGTTCTAGGATCTTGCTAAAGACAATCACTTTGGAAAAACACCAAATCATCTTGTTGTTGAAAGCTATCCTAAGTAGTGATGTACCGAACGGTTCGCCGGCGAACGGTTCCCGGCGAACATAGCATGTTCGCGTTCGCCACGGCGGGCGAACATATGCGCGGTTCGACCCGCCCCCTATTCGTCATCATTGAGTAAACTTTGACCCTGTACCTCACAGTCAGCAGACACATTCCAGCCAATTAGCAGCACACCTCCCTAGCAGACCCTCCCACCTCCTGGAAGGCATCCATTTTAGATTCATTCTCAAGCTGCATGCTTAGTAAGAGGAGGGAAAGTGAAGCTGCTGTTCATAAGATAGAAACAGTTAAAGCAGTTTAGGGATAAGGGTATGCTTTTTTTTTACTTATTTTCTATGTAATGTAATTGCACTTAGTTGTCTGCTACTGCTGCCAGCTTCTGTGTCAGGCTCACAGTGCATACTGTGCCCATTTCCCCAGTCAGTGCCACATCTCGTGTCACAATAGCTTGGATTTAAAAACAAAAAACTTTTT